AGGAGGCTGAAGAGTGGATTATTGCTTTTAGACTATGGACAGAAGCTGATAATTTTGAGATGTCCAGATGGTTGACCTTTTAAATGTTAAAGTATTCTCAGTCCGAATAAAATCCTAGTTAAAACGGGGACTGATAAGATTCATCCAATGACTGCAGTCATTGGTCAGTGTTAAAAGAGATTACTGTGAAGAGTGTTATTCTCTCATATGAAGTAAAACCTTCTACACTTTGCACCTAAAGCATGGAAAGATGACCTGAATGACTTTCAGGGCAAGAATTGCAGAAGTATAATAGGGCTTTAAAAGTATTTATTTTACCATTGATTAGGACGATCACATATTGAGCCCTGAATATATGTTAGCAGTAAAACTGAATCTGAGTATCTATTTTTTTTTTTTTTATTTTGTGTCAGGATGGTATGTTTATACTCCATCTAAAAACTATAAGTCGTGTAGGTGCCAATTTATAAAGAGAAACAGAAGAATCCAACCTTGTTTTACACCTTTTTAAAAACAATGTTCTGTGTCAAGAAAGCCATTTTTGGCCCATTTTCTTAATCTTACTTTGATACTTATGAAGGTATATTAAGAAGTCTTGAATCAATATTAAGATCACACAAACTAGCCCAGATCCCAGTCTGTAAAGTCAAAGACTAAAGACAGTTTAATACACAATATAAGAAGTCTTCAATTATTTCTGATAGTGTTTTGGTTAAGGAAAACAAAGTAGAACAAATAATTAAGCATAGATTAAGGTCACTAGTTTTATATACAAGCTATTAGATTGAAAGACTGATGAATCCAGTTCATCAAGAAATAATATGGAAGCATTTTTAAAGAATTCAGCTTATTTATGGATATCTGTTGTATAGTGCAGTTTAGAATGACCTTTTAAAAACAGGATGAAATAAACATTGCTCCTGGGAAAATATTACAAAAAATTACCCTTATGATGAACAATTCTGCAAATATTAGGGTAGAATTTGGGATTCTTACTTAAAATATCATAGAGCATTTTTCAGTTTTAGAAAGTTAATTAGTTATCTTGTCTGGAAGTATTGGACTCCAACTAGATAAAATTCTAAAACTATAATATAAAAAAAGTTCAATGAGAATTTGTGACCAGATCTTTCCTCTTATTAAGGTCACATGAACAGCACAATGTCCTGAGCTGAACAAATGTAAAGCACAGTGTCTTCCAAATATATTGTTCATAGTCTAGATATGGTAGAAATAAGATTAAAGAGTTGTTTAAAAACTTTTTTTTTTTTTTTTGGCGTCAAAGTCTTGCTGTGTCACCCAAGATGGAGTGCAGTGGCACAATCTCGACTCACTGCAACCTCCACCTCCCGGGTTCAAGCAATTCTCCTACCTCAGCCTTCTGAGTAGCTGGGACTACAGGCGCCCACCACCACACCCGGCTAATTTTTGCATTTTTGGTAGAAACAAGGGTTCACCACATTGGCCAGGCTGGTCTTGAACTCCTGACCTTGTGACCTGCCTGCCTCGGCCTCCCAAAGTGCTAGGATTACAGGCGTGAGCCCCCGCACCTGGCCGAAAAACTTATTTTAATTACATTTTTTTTCAGTTGACTCCTATAAATGCCCCTTGAAAGTAACTTGAAAGTGTATTGCTAGTCAGTGAAAAGAACCTTTCTTTCTGTTACCCCAGCCCTGAGCCCTCAAGTCAGGTTTCAAGTCAGATTACTTAGAAGATGGAAAATAATAATGAAGATTTTTTGTTTGTTTGTTTAATCCCATTGTTTAAGATACAGAAGCAAAGCGTTATACTCTTAACACCATAAAAAGTTATTTATGTTATTAAACCCTTTCAACTCTCTCATTCATTCATTTAGTAACAGTTTACTGAGTGTCATTCATGGTGCCATTTTGCAAATAGTCAAGTTTTCATGCAGTAGCACCAAGACAATTGATTGATATGGAAATTTATTACTTAAGAATGTCCACCCTATAGATGAAGAAAAACTGAAAATATTAATCAATAGTGTTAGCCATTTGATTAGTACGGTGAATGAAGTCACATTTAGATTTATTCTACAAGCTGTCCTTATTAATAATAGGTTGTGGCTATGCATAAGTTAGATCAGATGCTTCCTTCTTTGGTTAACCTGACTATCTACAGATGTATGAGCTCCATAAGAAAGTAGACTTCTCATTCCAGATCTTTCTGGAGTAAAGTTTTAACAGAGCCATTAATCTCAGTATTCAGATCATACGTAATGATTATACCTGCCAGAGTATCTTAGTTATAAGGGTTCAAAAGACAATGAGATCGGGCTGAGATAATGCACACATTCACGTATTCATAACAAGTAATATTATATACTTTATATATGCTCTTTTATCAGTTAGATAATAAAGATGAAGGTATATGGGTTTGGTTAGTTGAAATTTGCCTCTGCTATTAACCAATGTAAAAATACCCAACTTGTTTGTACCTTCTCCAAAGTTAAATTTTGGGATAGCTCCGAAAGTGATATCGATTTTGAACACATAATATTAATGTCCATAAGGGAGACTGTTTATAAAATTAATTATGTGAGCTCTTATTGAGTACTCCAAAAATTACAGAGTTACTGTATGAAACTAGTACTAGCTAACATTATGGAATTGGGAATGACTATTTGGTAACAGATAGGCTTGAATCTAGGCATTATCTTATTCATGGAATCTTGTTCATGGAAATACATAGTAGCAAAACAAAAAATGTTTCTAATGTGTTATCACTGATGTGATAACCCCATTAACTTCCTCAATGAAAATAGTGGTCCTGTTTCTCTGGAGAACATTTTAGAGATATTAGGGTTTTCTTAAAGGAATTTGATAACTTAGCATATTATTTTCTCTTGATTATCTCTTAAGAGCCCATGAAAAGAATCTAATTTCCCAAAAGGAGGTAGAAAATGCAAAATCAAACAAAAACCCCAGTCAGCTCTACTAAGAATGGATGCTAGTTCTCTAGACCATTCCATACTCCACTCTAAAGCCTGATAATTGAATCATGGCCGCTGCCTGTATACTTATAATTTGTAGATTTTGTCATATTTTCAGATAGATATTAGTTGCTTCAAATAATTGGGCTGAAAGGTGATATGTTTCCTGGTTTTTCCAGAACTTTATATTCTGCAACTTAACACTATTTCCCCGCAAAACGTAGTCTCTACCCATAAGACATCTTGAATCATTTCCTCAGGAAATATTAAGATATAAATATAAATTCTGTTACTAAACAACAACACAAAAATCTAAGTCCATGATGACTTTTTCCAACTTTATCAGTAAAAGCTTTTTTTATTATGTTTTAGTATATAATTTTAATAAGAAATTATTGATGAAATTGTTAGTAGAGTTTCTATTTATGTATTCAGTGACCAAGAAATATCAGAGGGAATAATATCAAAAAGATGTTTCTGTGGGTTTTCCAAATTTAAAACCAAAATAAAAAGTAGCTTACAGAAAAATAAAATTCTTAATGCTACAAAAGAAGTTGTGTATATAGCTGTCTGAATATCAAAATATGTGATCTGTTGCTGTTAAAATCTAGAACCGCCAACTTTCTTTTTAAAAAGTATTCAGAACAGTGTGTATATTCCCAGGAAAAATAATCTTTTTGCTCACTATAATTACTACCTCAAAAAGATTGTTTAAAGAAAGAATTAATGCTCGTAGGAAAATATCAAACTGAAAAACATTTAATTAAAGACAGATTTGGTTATTTTATAAAAGCAAAATCACAGATGCCCTGTGTAGTTCAGTATGTGTATTTTAAGAATTATAGATGTTTTCTTACAGCTATATCATTTCTAAAACCAAACGTAGTTTTTTGCTTTCTTTACATTTTTTGGATAATTTTTCAATACAAGTTTGCCTTGTTACTTCAAAAACACACCATTCTTTTGGTGATTCATACAAAAAGTGATTCTAAATATCTGAAGTTATTGTGTGTATATGTACTTTCTTATATTTAATTGTATTTATTAATGCAGTAATTCTTTAACAATTATAACAAAACTTAATTCTACAATGTAGGTCTGCTCCCAAGTGGGTTTTGCTATTCTAGACTAGCTAAAATATAAGTAGAAACTATTTTAGCAGTCAGTTAGAGAGTACAATAAACTGCTAAAGAAAGGACTCACATTCTGAATCTATTTCTTGTAAATTCTAGAAGAAAATGAATAGTTACAGATGTAAAGATGCATATTTGTTTCCATTTATAAAATTTTGATGGATTATGTTGATTAGTCACGATGTTTGGGTTTTCTGAAATAATCTAACCTACCATATTGAATTTCATGAAAATACAATTAGTGTGACTGAAAAGTAAAGCGTGTACCATAAAAATACAAAAAGTTTATGGAAACAGTTACGATTTTTAAAAGTGTTACACGATTGTTTTTAAACCAAATCCAGGTAGCCTTTATCTCAAAGGCTTCTATTTATGTTCAGTATCCACAATTAAAGAAATATCTCCACTCACATAGCCATACTTCAACCATAACTTATTATAAGTATTACTTCATATTTTGCAGCTGAACTCCTTTGGCATATGATTTTCAGCCCTTGCGTATTTTCTTTGTCTTTCAACAAATCTATTAATATAACAAGGGATGAGAAGCACAGTAGAAGTTACCCATCATTTGTAAATTTTGCTACCTTATTTTAAAGTAGCTTTGCTAAAATATGCAAAAGAACAATAAAGAAAAACTTCTGGCAACATCGATGTTCTTTAATACATACATTTATATATTCATGCTATCTCTGTTGTTCATGAAACATAGTTGGCTGTAATATTCATAAAGTGGAGTGTCAACCTTATTGTAAAAATAAAGAAATGTAATCTGTTTCTATTTCTGCAAGTTATTCCCATATTTTTATTAAAACAATACTTACACTACACAACATCAATTCCTACTATCAGTAGAATGCTTGATTTTTCTAAAAAATTGATTATAAGAATTGATTTTATATTTTGGTCAACAGATATTCCACATGACGTATGATCTTGCCAGTGCAGTGGTGAGAATTTTTAATCTCATCGGCATGATGCTGCTCCTGTGTCACTGGGATGGTTGTCTTCAGTTCTTAGTACCACTACTGCAGGACTTCCCACCAGATTGCTGGGTGTCTTTAAATGAAATGGTTGTAAGTAATTTGTATTGTTTTACACTGTGACTTTTCAACGTTGTGCCAAAACCTTTTAAGTAATTATGTTACAATGATCTGATTTCTCCTCTATAAATATTTACAGACAACTTGATTTTGCTTCTATGAATATAAAATCAGATGTTATGTTTGTGGGGGGGTGGTTACAACTAAATTTTACCTATTGACTGTGTTCCTGAGTAAGTATATGTTACAACATCTACTTTTATATATTTTATTCTGTGTATACTGAGGCATATCTTATTTCAAAGGTACAATCACAAAATATGACCATGGCACAGCATTCTTTCAAAAATGCCTGTGGCTTAGAATAACTCCTTATTTTGTCAACATTTTAAAGCATTCATTATGTTCAAGACATACACTTTTAGGGATTGTAAAACATGCAAAAGTAGGTACATCAGCATAGATATAGATTAAATATGTATGAAGTGAAGTGAAGTTTCAGATACTTACTTTTTGCTAGGGAAAATAAGGAAAACTTCGTGGAAAAGGTAGGCTTTAAACTTACCTCTGAAAGATATGTAAATATTTAAAAATCTACAAAATATAAATTTGATTTAAATAGCTAGGTATATTCCTATGTAATTTTAAGAAGATATGTTTTGATCTTTATAGCGCAACACTCAACACTCACAAAAGAATTAAAAAAACTGTGAATATTTTAGTAGATATATCTATAAATCTCTCTATATATATTTATACACACTCACGTATGTGTTCACAAATATTTGTTCTTTTTGTGTAAGTTCCCATATTTTCTTCCTGCATTACCTTTTAATTACATTTTTACTTAATAAAACATTGTTTAACTGTGAATAGCCCTCTTTGATATGTGACATTTTATGATACTTTAATTTTATGAGATTTTTACACTTTTCCCTTAGGTATAAATCAAATACTCTCTTTTTTCAAACTGTTCTACTATTGATTTCTTGGCTTATTTTTGTAGAAATGACATGGACACTGAAGATTACAATTTTTTCTCCTAATGATTGTAGCACAGGCTTTCTATTTGGGAAAAAAAAAAAAAGGCGGTTTACATTGAAAGTTATGATGCATTGTCTTCTTTTCTTCCTTTTCTGTCTTCTTCCCTATTTTTCTCCTTCCTTCCTTCCTTCTTTCCTTCCTTCCTTCCTGCTTCTTTCTACCTTTTCTATGCTTTCATTGATATTTGACCTGATATTTATTATATTTACTTAGATCGCACCTTCATTAATTTTGCTTGTATATCACTAAATCACAGAGAGCTTTCCTGACCACCTTATCTTTTATATTACTCCACTGGTTTATATGTTAATAATAAAAGCATTTAGCAACACACACACAGATACACACACACACACATACACACACACACACACACAGAGAGAGAGAGAGAGAGAGAGAGAGAGAGAGAGAGAGACATACACTCTTATTTGTTATTTCTATTTTTCTGTGTTCCCCACACGAGAATGTAATGTCTGTTCTCGTCTGTCCTTTATTTCCAGTGGTGTCTTGGTTTATTTTGTGCTGTTATAATAGAATACTATGGACTGAGTAATTTATAAAAACAGAAATTTATTTCTCACTGCTCTGGAGCCTGGAGAGTCCAAGATGAAGGTGCCAGCAGGTTCAATTTCTATATCTAAGATGACACCATGCTCCTATGTCCTCCAGAGAAGAAAAATCTATCCCTCACATGGCAGAAGGTAGAAAGACAGGAACACACTTCCGAAAGCCTTCTTTAATCCATTTATGAGAGCAAAGCAATCATGACCTAAACACCTTTATTAGGCCCCACCTCCCAACATTGTTGTATTTTGGATTAAGCTTCTAACACATGAATTTTGGGAGTCACATTCAGACCATAGAAAGTGCCTAGAATAGTACCTGACACATTAATTTGTTGTGATTTAGTCACTTATCATTGAAAGTTTATTTGAGAAATATTCTATATGGTAGTTTCAATAACTAAATAACAAAGTAAGCAGTAGTTTGGTTAGCTCATTTTTCAAACCTGTGATGTCTACTTGATTATAGATCTGTCACTTTACTTATCTTTGAAGGAGTAAAGTATATGGAAAAATAGTAATAATGATATTTTTCAGTAGAAGAAAAGGCAATAGCTGTATAGTCTGGCTACTGACTGAGAGGATAGTATAAAAACATTAGCACTACTGCCAAAAGATGATTCATTGGCACCAACCAATATTTAATTTGGTAGAAATTTATTATTTTACATTTTTCCTATGTGTCTTTCAGAAAAATACCAATTATCATCATAGAAATAGTAAAATAACTATTTTGGAATATCTATAAAGTACGTATGGTAGTATAATTATAAGGCAATATAGTATTTAATATATCTGATGATAATGCATTTATTGAAAAAAATTCTGGATTATTTTTCTTTAACATGTCTATATGTGCTCAAATGTGTGTGTTGGTGTGTGTGTGGTGTGTGTGTGTGTAGTATGTTTATTCCAACATAGCCCAACCTTCCACCTTTTTTTATATCCTGACATTATACAAAATATCTTTCCAGAATTTGCAATTCACTTCTTGGCTTTTTTTTTTTTTTTTTTGGCTGCAGATTTACATATGAAATTGGTTTTTATTTTCTTTTGTGTTTATTTAACATTATTTCCATGTGTAACTCTAATGTAGAGAGAAGGAAACCATCATGTATGTTCAAATATAAAAGCCATAACTTATTTTATTATTTTTTGAGATGGGGTCTTGCTATGTTGCCAAGACTGGTCTTAAACTCCTGGTGTCAAGTGATGCTCCCACCTTGGCCTCCCAATGTGTTGGGATTACAGGCATGAGCCATCATGCCTGGCCTAATTTATATTGTGTATAATAGTGATGTGAAGGAAATAACCATAAAAAAAGACCATTTTTGAATCAACAGAGAATCCTTATAATATCATTTGACCTTGAAGATACTGTTTTCCATTCTAAAGCTATGAAGTTCTGGTAAATCGTTTATTGCAATAACAAAAAGCAAAGTATATTTATGCACAAAGAGTTATAATGGAAAAGTGAAAATCTGATATAAAAACAAAAGCACCCTGCATTTATTTAACACTTAATATATACAAAACTCTGTGCTTTGAAGGATGCTATCTTATTTGGTCCACACAGCAACTGAATGAGGTAAACATTATTTTGCCCCACTGTTTGGTTAGGAAAACTAAAGTTTTTAGAAGTTAAATGAATAGTCAGTGTCACACAGCTAGATTATAGAACTAAGAGTAGAATGCTTACATATCTGACTCCGTAATTTCTACTCTAAGCCATGTTGGAAGGTTTTGTGCAGCATACATTATAAAGAACAGTTAAGGAAGGTAGTAATAAAGAGACAAAACGTATTAGTTAAAGCACTCCAATTGCAGTAGAAAATCACGTTAAAATTAACGTTTGAGCTCTGACACTAAAAAGTGGCAAGACTGATCTTTTGTGAGATGTAGAAAACCAAAATCAAGTTGAGAAATCAAAAAATTAAGAAAGCCAGGTCAAGATATATGCAGGAATGTACTAGTCTGTCTTGGGTTTGGGCTTGACAAACATGCTATGACATTAGACTCTGATTCTAAATTACTTATGATGAAGATTAGTGGGTCTAACAAATTCTTTATGTTTATTATTTCTTCTTCATTGCTTCCTTCCATCACTAAATGAGTTTTATTCTTAAATATTAATTAGTATATATTTATATCCTCCTTACCTGTATCTGCACTTATACCCATGCTTTTATCTGTATCCCACTAGCTAGATGAGGAGAAACTCAAAGTCAATGCTGTAATTATACTATATCTGTAACTGTAGTGTTGATAATTTGTTTAATATATCTATTCTTATATTATAATTCCATAAAAGTAGGTTCAGTTCTTCTCAGTGAATTCCTTTGCAATCTTGCTATATTGCTCATTAAAGTTTTTATTCAAATATTATTTTTAAAAAGTCAATCACTAACCATCCTGGGTGCTATGGTTTAAATGTATCCTTCCAACTTCATGTGTTGAAAACCTAATCCCCACTGCAGAAGTGTTGGGATGCAAGGTCTAGTAAGAGGTGATTACATAAAGAGCAAACTGACCTCATGAACAGATTAAAATTGTTATTGGAGAAGGGGGTTAGTTATAAAAATAAGTTCGGCTATCTCCAGCTCACTTTCACATGTGATTGCTGGCCCTTTCACCCTTCTTTCCTTATGCTATGGTAAGGGACAGCCCAAAGGCTCTCACCACATGAAACTTTAAAAGACCTTGGGTATCCCAGCCTCCAGGACTGTGAGCTAAATAAATTTCTGTTCATTATAAATTACCCATCTGTGGTATTTTGCTATAACAACGGAAAGTGGACTAAAAGTGCAGGCTACTTAAATTTACCAGGAAGGAGATACTAACTAGCAAAACACAACATGAACAGGAAGTAGCTTTGCTTTGTGTTTATATTATTTGTTTTTGTTTCATTCAAGAAATAAGTCTGAATTATAGAATTCTAACTGAATGAAAATCTTGGATATGGCAGATAATTGCTTTCTAATAAGATTAGTTTAATCCCATGACATTTTGTGACTATATGTTTAGGTATACAACACTAAAATTACATTAAATCATTATAAACGAGATTGGGAGTAATGGTTTTTTGTTAAAATTACAAGTATGAAATATTCATTTTAAGAATATAAGAAAATAAATGATGCTTGTTAACTTGCGTATTAATTTTGAACTGAATCTCAAATATCTGATTTAACCTAGGGAATGACTTTATAGAACAGATAAAGAAGGATTTTCAGCTAAACAGTACATTCCTAGAGCAATCTTTCTTTAATTAAAGTCTATAGGTTTACTGTCTGGGAGTCCAGGTTTCCTACTAGCAATCTTATAAATGTATGGTTACATGTTAGTAATAATTTTGAAGGTTTTAACATAGCATGTTATGAATTTAGGATTATCTGAATGTCATACATATGGAATCTGGATATGCTT